ATATATATATATATATATTGGGCCCCGTGCTGGCACGGGGTCCTATATCTAGTATAACTAAAAATGAAAATCGAGAGAGACTGTGTCACTGATTTACATAGTTCCAATTTCACTAGCTCCCATAAAAAAGAAACTCAAAAAGAGAGCAAAAAAAAACACTCTATCAAATGGTGAATCTAGACGTAGGCACAATGGATATACAAGTTGTGAAAAAAAAAAAAAGTTTCACGCATATATAAAGAGCAAATTCTGACGAGAGGGAGTTGCTCGGATGGTAAGCACCTTTCACTTTCAACCCAAAGGTTGGGAGTTCAAGTCACCAAGGGAGCAAAAGGAGTGGGAGCTCCTGGGGAGGGTAAAAAAAAAAGACAAATTCTATAATTTAAAATTCTGAATTTACGTGTTCGTGGGCTTAATAAGCCACCTATTGGATGCGGTCACACGGGTTTTTCGAGGATATGAGTATGAACATAGATGTTTCTGGACATCATTGGAAGATAAGACGTTTGCATCAGCCTAAAATTAGAAAATTTCAAGAAATTGAGTTTTAATAAAGTTTGTGTACGTATGTACTGTTATTTCCTGTATTAAGGTTAGCAAAACAGAATCAGAAAAATAGATGAAACAGACAGAAATAATAATCCAAGTCCATAGAATTTATTGTGTTTTCTTAAGAAATTTAATCCCCTCAAGTATCCGAGGTTGCAGATTAATTCCTCCCAAAATAAAACGGATTAACCTATTAGAGAAGTAGTGGTACCTCAAACTTTAATAATTTCAGCGAACGCAAGAACAGTAACGAGAGCACACACAGACTCAATCGATCGACAATTTGTTTATGTAAGAAAATGTATGCAGAGAGGAAAAAAATTTAGTGAGTGAAAAATGAAAAAGACCTCTTATTTATAGCCATTTACAGCAAGGAACGCGTCTGTTCAGACAACAGTGTCTTTCCAGGACATTGTGTCTTTTTGAGAAAAGTAACGCCCTTTCGGAAGGAACAGGTCCCTTCAGAACGTTTTTACCGTTACACGCAAATTTTAAATAAATTTTGTTATGCAAAATTAATTCTGTTAATTAACTAACATTCTGAATTAATTTATAAGAGAAAGGAAATCAATTAATGAGATTGATTAAATAAATTCTGTCCAAAAATATTATCAATCAATCATTTGTCAAATCTGAATCCGAAAACGAAGCCGAGCGACGACGACGACGGCGCGAGGGGGCACCTTCTTCTTAACCTTTTAAGAACTAAAGGAAGTGTTTCCTAATATAAGGACAATAATTTTCATTTCTTCTACCAATATGAGAGAAATGACTTTTCATTTGCAATTTGCAATGACTTTTCATTTGCAATTTGCAATGACAATGACTTTTCATTTTTCTTCCGAAATTGGTTCCCCCACATTTCCATTTTTTCTTCTTATTTCTCATTCATACTTTGCTAAAACCCAACAATCCCCCACATGAATGGGGAATGACTATTGTTAAAACATATGCATGAAAAACTTGTGTGTCTCATAAGTAAGGGTTAATCGCATCTGGATAAGTAGGTTTTCCTTTAAATTTTTCGTAGTGAACATATATCGGATATACTCGGTCAATCGGTAGATTTGATATCTTTGAACCGTCGAGCTTGGTGTATACCTAGACAACATAAGTCACACAATCAACCCTTGAACTGTTTTTGGTTCTCATTGTTTTGTTCGTTTCAGTCATGAACACATCTCGGTTAATAAGTGCTTAGAGAATTGGCCTTACCAGATTCTCCTTGAAGCGGCTTACACTTCACACTTACATAGGTGGTATCTAACTGTGTTATCCCGTAGATACACTATTTGATATACCCTATATCAAACTTAGAAACTATTAAAAAGTCCTTATGCTTTTATCCTGGTTACTAAACATTGTCTCATCATGAGAATGGACCATAAAATAAATTTTGACAATGTTGAATCGTCATCTATGACTTTGTTTGATCTCCTTGAACCTAGATCTTGGGATCTCCAGTCTTCTAGGTAGAGTTACCGCCACGATGACTTGTTCTCGGCCATAGTCCCATTCCCGCCGATGATCTCTCAACTCCCTCTCTAGTTAGGCCTTTTGTAAGTGGATCCGGCATATTATCCTTTGACTTTACATGGTCAATTGTGATAATTCCACTAGAGAGTGGTCAATTGTGATAATTCCACTAGAGAGTAGTTTTCTAACAAAGTTACGTTTTCGTCATATGTGACAAAACTTCCCGTTATACATAACACTTCCATCCCCTTCCTATTGCAGCTTGACTATCACAGTGTATGTATATAGAGGCCATTGGTTTGGGCCATAATAGAATATCTTCTAAGAAATTTCGGAGCCATTCAACTTCTTCACCTGCCTTGTCTAAGGCAATGAATTCAAACTCCATTGTAGAGCGAGCTATACATGTTTGTTTGGATAATTTCCAAGATATTGTTCCTCCACCAATAGTGAAAACATATCCACTTGTGGATTTCGTTTCAGTTGACCCAGTAATCCAATTTGCATCACTATATCTTTCAAGAACTACTGGATATTTGTTGTAATGCAAATCATAGTTTTGAGTGTCATCTAAGTACCCAAAACTCTCTTCATTGCCATCCAATTATTTTGATTGGGATTACTTGTGTATTGACTCAGTTTACTTATAACGAAGGCTATGTCTGGTCGTGTACAATTCATGACATACATCAAACTTTCCAATACTCTGGCATTATCCAATTGAGACTGACTTTCACCTTTATTCTTAGCAAGATTAAGGTTCACATCAATTGGGGTCTTTGCCTTTTTGAAATTCAAATACTTGAACTTTTCAAGTACTTTTTGAATATAATGAGATTGAGACAATGCTAGACTGTTAAGAGTTTTATGAATCTTAAGTCCCAATATCAAATTATCGGCTACTCCTAGATCTTTCATATCAAACTTACTAGCGAGCATACGCTTAGTAGCTTTTACATTAGCAATGTCCTTGCTCATTATCAACATGCCATCCACATATAGACATACAATGACCTCCTGATTCGATGTCTTTAATGTAAACAC